ACATTGCGACATTGCGAGAAATGGGGGTCCGTGTCGGCCAAAGGTGACGCGTAGATCGTGGTAGGACGACCTGTGCGTCGTAAAATAAACACGCGAATATTTCAACGAAAACGTTTTCGTCCTGTCGCTCTTGCGAAAGAAATCGGTAATTACATTTATTATTGAAATCGAGTCGCCATTGACCCCTTTTGAATTCGCAAATACTACTTATGATACGCGCGAATTAATTGATTAATCTTTTATTAATGATACAAGTATCATGTATACATATTTTCATAAATCTCGAGATTTACTAACAAAATTTCTTCATTATCCCGCTATAAAAATTGCATAAGAAATATGTTTCCTAAAAAAATTTAATTCCACATTAATTTTGTCGATCTAGTTTCTATGTATGACACACGGACGACTCCCAGATAGATGTTTTTAAGATATATGTCTTTGGGATATCATATCATAAGATTTCTTAATAACGTCTTATGCACCAATTTTGAACATGGTGATATCTGGGCTCTGTACCGACAAACAAAAAAAAAAGAAGTTAAAGATAAATAAAAATATGAAAGATACAAAGGAGAGAAATCAAAGTTGTCAAATTGATACTATCTTAAAAGAGATCTTTTCGGAAGCGACGCGGCTAATCGCAGCAACGAAGACGCTTCCTCTCTTGGGACGAGATAAAAAGATAATCCGTATAAAATATAGCCCGACGTCTGTAAGCTGACGTAAGAATGGCGCTTTGAGATCGACTAAGATACGCAAGAGGTAATAGCTGACTAATTGCGCGTGTGGATTCATATACGCGAAGTGGAGAAAGCAACATTGTGGACCTCGCCGAAGGGCGCGAATGAATGTTCCTCGGCTCGTTTTCTCGTTTGTACTTTCCCACGAGTACGATTAATGATATCTTCGAGGAAGAAATGACTTCGACCTTGAAGAGTCGTTGCCACTGACCGCGCGAGCAACGACTTAGGCTTACAATTAATGAATTTCCAAGGTAGAGAAGTTTGCGCATCTTGGCGAATCAAAGGTACATCATCTGGACGTCCTCCGATCACTCAACCTCGACTTTTTCACGATCCCGCTCGATTTCCGGTAGCGCAAGTTCGCGGATTGCAAAACACATTGATATATTAATGGTCAAACTCGTATCTCGTAAAATAGACGACGCCTTTCTCCATATGCGGAAGGAGACGAATCGCAACATGCAACGTGTCTACGAGTCTAAAATGTAAATTTTATGACATATATATTAACGATATGTCATTATTACCATAATACGAGCGAGATACATTCTCGATCGTGATGGACACGAGGAAGCTGAACAAAAAAGTTGAAATTTTTGAGAAAAAAATACCATCTTATTACGAAATAATGTCTTATTACGAAATAATGTAGCGTATAAAGCGATTCGATCATTATTATAAGACACGTCATATATCTGTTATGCGGATGTATTTATAGCCAGAATTGTGAGTGGCATATCTTTTGTAAAATATTAAATTTACTCATTATTAAGAGAGATGCAAAAAATATATTAATAAATAAATATATAAATCATGCATGCAATCACAACACAAAATATTTTTCGCGCATCGCAGAATTTATTTTTCAAATCTACATTTCAGATTCTGTTATGAAATATTGCAAGACTTGAGAAAAAAAGCGAAATTAACAATCACTATAGCAACCAATATTTTTATTATCGTGACGAACAAAAAACCTTTATGATTCCGAATTAAGTATTTGCATTTAAAAGCTAGAAAAATGTGATTTTCTGTCTGCACTTCTTTAAATTGAATATTATCTATATACGTTTATACATTTGTTTAATATGTATATATGTGTATATATATTTAAAGAAACGTTATAAAATATGCAACATAAAATAGTCACAAATCTTCTCTCTCCTTCATCTTTAAATAAAAATTAATTTTACTCAATAACAAAATAAATGATGCCATTTTTTTATCACGATATTTGAATTGATACTTCAGTAAAGATTATGTTAATTCTTTTCAGAACGTAGAAAATTATTAATTTTATTCAACTATGAAGAAAAATGAACGTTGCAAAATCTTCGACAAACACATGGATTGCTCTTTTATTTGTAGTTGTTTGTTTGACTTAAATCGCATAATTGCGTCATAACATGTTCGTAGTGTATTTAATTAAATCTATGATTGCCACGTTGTGCAAAAATGTCGTTTCCAAATTGTAGTTTAATTATTTTTACAAGGTCACCTCGTGTTTTTTTTTACAATCTTATATATTTAGATTTATTAATCGAAAAATCATCGACGTATTTTTATTCGACTTCTTTTTTTTTAATTAAAAATTAGCGTGCAGCGAGATTCGATGTACTTTGTGAATCAATATTATTATTCTACTCGTTTAAAGGTTACAGATAAAGATCCAGTTCTACAAGATAGTATTTTACAAGATCTCATTTTTATTTATATGCAGAATAATATTCAATAAATTATTTTAAATCGTGAAAGTATTCTTCGTTAAACTTGGAATTGATCTTTTTTCATCAAAAATTGAGACTTAATTGAAAAATGTAGAATATAAAAGAAAATAAAAATAAACTTTAATCGAATTAATAAACTTTCTAAACTATATTCAAGCTATCTTTAAGAATTTCGAGATCTCTTTTATGCAAAATTTTGTTTAAATATGTATCGTCCATCTCATACACATTTATGCTTGAAACTAAAGACAATATGTATTTTTCATATTTCATGAAGTATTATGTATACATTTCTTAAATTCTTAGGAAAGAGAAGGATATGAGAGATCTAAAATGAATTAAATTTCACACAAAAATACATAGAAGCGATTTTTCGTAACTTGTCGACGAGCAGCGAGTTTATTATTTATTATATGTATACGCGCTCACGCGAGAGAATCTTCGCGAGAGAATCGCGGGAATTACCTAATCCGCCTGCGAGAACAATCGGCCCACAGACGCGAAATAAAAAAATGGTAAATTACGACATGACAAAGATGATGGTCTATAATACAAGAAATTAGTAGCGCGCACAAATGATTCAAAGGTTTCCCGGATTAAGGATTCAAGGCCTCAAGCGAGTGCCACCCTACGTTTATTTCGTTTAATTTATGCATACGTATTCGCCTGCTTGGGGTTTATTTATAAATTAGAGAACCTATATCACACAGAGGATATAATCGTTCACAAACGGATTTTAGATTTTATTGTTAGTCATTAGCATATTCAGGATTAGCATCTTGAAATAATTCAGGCGGACGGAAGCATAAAAGATGCAGAGAATGGAAAGAAGGAACAGACCCTTGAAATGGGTTTCGTATACAACCTCTCTACGAGAGAGATCTTTCTTATACTCTCCCATAAATCTGGCGCGTGCTTTTTGCATCGAGATTAAATTATTTTTACCACGAGGGAAGAAAGAAAACAGACAAGCGACATAAATAAACAATTCCCTCCTACATCGTAGATAACAAATCGGCGAATAAATCACAAAAGGTTTGAAAAACGCGAAAATTTATCGATATTTTATTATTCATATTATTCGTCGAATTATCTATGAAATTGTAAGAGCTTTTTGGCAATTTGGACACGGATTAATTAACACGGTTATTAGCTCGTAAAATTTTTATTGGAATAATTTATTTAAGAAAATTTGCGCGCCCGAAAAAAATTCTAGTTCTTTTCGTTTCTTTTCAAATTTTACAAAAATTTTAAAAGAAACAGCATTATTTTTTTTTTTAAAGATATTTTTGCTCTGTTGCTCACGGTGGTTATTAATTTTTATTGATGAAACGCATTAATCTCGATGTCCTTTTTTACGGCCGAGTATACGATTATTGCATGCAATATATTCGAGAAAAGATTGTTGATTAATTGGATAATCACCGCGTGTAAGCTATAAGTTTAATTGTAATTCATCTCTTTTACACGAAGGGTCTCCTGTCTTTCGTCTTTCGAAAACATCATGCGACCGGAGAAAGGAAGCGGCGAATATTTAGCATTATACAACTCTAATGTCCTACATTCTGACATTAATTTTGAGGGTCCACGAATATCGTGAGCGAGCGATTTTTCTGTCGCTCTAATCTTGCAATATTAAACAAATTTCCCAGGAATGTAGAACTTTATAGATTTTGAATAACATTTCATGAATTAAAAATTCGGATTATATAAAAAAAGCCAAGTTTTTCAAGTTATTATATACACTTTTTACGATTTGATCTTTTAAATCTTCTTTAAGAGAGATTCTCTAGCAATCTTTTTAAAAAATAAAAGTGATATTTGTATATAGATTATATAGACAAATATTTATAAATCTATCTAACATATAAAAACTTTATTCAATAATCGATACAAGGAGAGAATTTTTTTTAGAATTTACACTGAAAATCATAGTAATTATGGAACAATATATATGACATTAGAAGAATTTTATAAGTTTCTCTGATTAATATTTACCACGATAAAAAATATTAATATGCACATAGTAAAATTAATCGGACATATTTTACATCTTGTAGTATAGATATTAATATTTTTATTTTCTTCCAATACCATATTGTCCCACGATTATCATAATTTTTAGGATAAAATCTAAGAGAAAATTCTCTCTGTTATCTTTCAAATATTTTTCATGTTGTGCTGAGAAGCGTTGTAAATTAGTTAAAAAAAAAATAAATATATTTGTCGCAGATCAGATATCACAGATTTGAGCACAACAAACACACGAAAGAGTGATCTTTATTCACTCGCAGAAATTAAAATCGCAATATATATATATATATATATATGTATATATGCGTATATTTCTTGGCATCTACACAGCATCCAATATCGAACTTGTCGAAATGTTACTGGTTTCGAGTATCACCATGATTGTGCAGCTTGAAAGGTGCGCGAATAAGTGTGACGCGCAAATATGAGTACTCGTACTCTCGTATTCATTGTGCGCGCGCGCTCGATAAATAAACCAAGTGCGTGTACTTACTTAATATGTATCCTCCCGCGTGGAGTGTGTAACGCGCGTGTCGCTTAAAAGAAAGTCAATATAACTGGCGCTGGTTTCGTATCCCTTCTTCTCTTATACCATCCTCCGGTGATCTGGCCAGTACCCCCCTACCATTTTGGTACGCGGATCGCCACTGTCCTTCGGTATCCTACGCTGGTCAACATATTACATTGACTCCTTCGTCGTCCATCCGCGCCAATTTTTTATTCCTCCTGACCGCGCATCGAATTAAGTCACCCATCCCGAATGCATTTTTTTGCGGGATGTCATAAATGCTAAAATTCAAAATGTATTATTATTTTTTTTATCAGACAAAAATTGTATTATTAAATATAATAGTTTTTTTAAGGATAAAATTAATAAGAAATACATAGGTAAATAAAAAGAGAAAGAATTTTGTTAAAATAAAAAGACTAAGGATATTATTCATAATCAAAATAAGAGGCGCTTGTTATCTATGCGAATTCCTGAAACGCACTTCATCAAGAAACACTTTCTTTTTTCATCAATCAGCAATAAGAGATGAAAATTATTCCTACGTCGACATTCCTGTGGAAGGAAAGATCGTTTCTCTCAATCTCGGATATTTATAATAGATATATATGCGCTAAAACGCGGCGCCTACTTATTAATACACTCTATACTTGCGTGCATCTCCCAAAAGTGCATTTTATAAGTGCAAGATGCTTTGCGCGAATCGTTCCTTATTCTTTCTCTTTTTTTGTTGTAAATATAGCGAGATGTAGTGCCACAGATAAATAATAATAATTTTAATATATATAATGGACAAAATAACTGTTTACATTCAATAAATATAATGTTTTAATATTAATGTATATAATAATAATTGGAAAAAAGGAAAAAATAATTATGCAACATTGATATATATATATATATCTACACACATATATTATTATACAAACCTTTATTTACATGATAATAAAATGTCTAACTTTATTAATTTAAAATATTTCAATCAAGAGACTGGATATATACTGAATTGATCAAAGAATTTAAGCAAATGAAAGAAAGCGCGTAGAAAAGTTTACTTTATTAATTCCACCTGTCTCTAGGATCATACTCATCTATGCGAGAAAGATTAGATATATATCAATTTCGATTTTAACGAGAAACATATTTCTCGAGGGCCGAATAAATTGACAAAAAACGTGTTCCCATATCGTGATAATATTCATTATCATCGTGAAAATCGTGCGATGTCGCAACGTATATATCGCGTCATAAATACTCACACTATGTCAGGAGCCCCCGAAAAAGACAGCGATTGGCGAGCGAGGAGGAGAAATGGGCCTTATGACCATGACAGGATGATCCGGGTATCCCGGAATGAGTCGACACTCGACACCCGTTGTGTGCGAGAGAAGAATAAAACACCAAATCTCTAAATATGTACACACGTGGGCGGACAGAACGTGGCCTGGCCCCTGCAAAGAATTCGGTTAATGCGTTAATCGATAGTTGGTCGTGTATCACTTTCTACGATATATCGATGCGTATATCTATATACGATATATCGAGATTTTTAATTTCTTCGCTTTCCACAAACAAAAATCGTTTCAAAAACACACATTTATTTATTTCAAATACGATATTTGAGAAAGAGATTAATATAATGTTTAAAACAATTTAAACAATTAAAGATAAAGAGAAATGTAACATATATATATATATATATATATATATATAAATTTCCAATATTTTTCTTTTGCAATTCGTAATATACACCAAAGAATCAATAAATTATAAAAAAATTATAAAAAATAAATTATAAAAAAATTTCTTTTTCATATCATATATAATAATTTAAACTTTTTTTTGTATAACAAAAAGTGCCATGCGTTATACGTTTGAAGTAGCTCTATAAGTTAGCTGTGATTAAATATGTAAAATAGACATTGCAAATATGAAAAACAATGCGTTTTCTATTTTTTTTCTTCATTTATTTAATCTTGATATATAAATATATATATTTCATATCAACCTCCATCATATTTATCAGTATAGTACTACATACTATAGTCGTTTTTATCACTTATATAAATTGTTTAAAATAAACTCAATCTATACAAAATTTCTTAAAAAGAAAGTCTAAATGAGTACATCTTTATCCCGTTTGTGTATCAAAGCAGTATGCAGTACATGTGATAAATGTGAAATAAAATAACAATTAAATAGATTAAAAAAATAATAGTTTAATCATGTTATTATAATCCTAAAGATTAGGAATAAAAACATGTATATAATTAAATATATATTTTCAGCTATGTATGAAGGTGAGAAGTGTGGATGGTAAGTATGGGTGGCATATATACAAAATTTGCAATAAATGATAAAATAACTTATAACAATTGTTACATATTCCTGTTTTGCATTGTCAAAACGTCCTCTTTTGAGGAACGATATTGAAGTTATAACATCATATATTACAAGATATTTTAAAGTTCATAATTTAACTATATAGATTATATATATCAACTATGATAATAAATTTCACTACACTGAGAAACTTTCACCACATCCACATGTCCCTTTAATATTGGGATTATTGAATACAAACTCAGAGCTTAATTTGTTCTCGATGTAATCCATTTCTGTTCCAAGAAGAGACAGCTGTGCCTTTCTATCGATAAATATACGAACACCATCTTGAATTACTTCCTCGTCAAGTTTGGATTTTTCTTTTGCATAGTCCAAAGTGTAGCTTAAACCATTACATCCTCGTTGCCGTACTCCAACCTTAAGACCAATCTATGAATAAAATAAGATAGTTTTAATTTTAATATATTAAAAGTTTAATAAACATTTACTTTAAAAACTTATTGTAAATATGTGATAAATATCTTATAAACATTTTAGTTATAAAATTATATATATATTTTTTTTTAAATGCTATTATATAATTTAAAAGTATTATATACATACAAAAATACTTACAAATTCACTTTTGTCTTTTAAAATCTCTTTAATCTTATTGATAGCATTGGGTGTCTAAAATATAAAACGCCTTTCTTCAGTTTATATTAAAATGTATCTATGAAAATATGATAAGGTTATAATTCATTGACGTAAATATGTTGCGATATATTACGAAATAAAAAATATAAATAAGTATATATAAAAAGAATAAGAACTGTAATATACGTCGCAAAATCCGTTGCAATAATAAAGATTAGTAAACAAAACTCGCGTTTAATGTTACATTACAATTATTTTCTTAAAGTTTATTAATCTTCGCTTTTTATTTGAATTTACACATTTACGTTGCAACACGCGAAAAATACAAGCATATAAATTAGATAATGTGCAACTTTTTGCGAAAAAATTAAAAAATAATAATCTCTTTAATTGACGATATACTAACCAGAGTAAGTGCAGCGCGAGTTGCAAGAATCTTTCTTCCTTTCACAGCTCTTATTGTGGCGGCTGCTACCGTGGACGATGCCATTTCTAATGAACGAACCTCACTGACGTTTGACGTCACACGTCACGTGCAATTTTGAAGCTAATGTCGTATGTTGCGAGACTAAATAAAAGGAGCGTCTCATTGGACGTTGCAAATTACCACAGCCAATCATATCGTTCGATATCTAGGGAAATTAGCGACGATCGACCAATCCAATTTTTAATTGACCAATTGGAAAAAAAGAAGATTGGATAAGAAAATTTTCTTCCGATCAATCAAACACTTTGAATTATTTGTAATGTCAAATGGAATATATTCGTAATCATCAGTCAAATAAACTTGTCGTCGTCAATTTGTTCACAATTTACTGAGTGAATACAAAAAGATTATTCATAATGGTAAAGATATGTTTATAAAAATTATATTATGCTTTACTGATTAATTTATTGATTGTACGCTTTATAAGACTGCGTTATAAGATTATTATATTAAATAAATTTAGTAAATTATATAAATATACACTAATTTATGCTATGTAATTGTAGTCAATATCTCGTTATTTTTTATGCATGCTATATATGTATATGTATGTTATAAAGAATAAATATATATTTTTTAGCATGGTCGAGTAAAAGTGCGTACTACAGCAGAGCAGGAGGAGATTAAAAAAAGGGAGAGAGCAGCCAAAGTTGCTCAATACAAGGCCGATATGGCTATAGTAATTCAAAAGGTTTTGAAACTCATTTCTTATCTGTATGTCTGTGTGACTCATTATATGCAGATTTTTCTCATACATGATTATCATATTATTGATATTTTAGAGAAAGGATAAAATATGGGATGACGAATTATTATTAATTACTAAGCGTATCCTACTAAGTAATCCAGATATTTATACATTATGGAATATTCGTCGTGAAACTTTTGAGAATAACAAATGGTAACATTATAATAAAATACTTTGTTTATGACATTGTACAGTGAGCAGAAATTAATTTAACAATGAAAATTTATAGGAGCGATGAAGATTATAAGCAACTACTTGAAAATGAGATGAGTTTAACTGAAAACTGTCTTAGAGAAAATCCTAAATCATACAGCGTGTGGCACCAAAGATGTTGGGTGATGGAACAAATGCCTGAACCTGATTGGAAAAAGGAATTAGCATTGTGTGCAAAATGCTTAACTTTAGATGAAAGAAATTGTTAAGTATACCATGCCTCTTTTATTATTGTGTAAGCAATATATATATACATATTCTGAAATGAATATATACATATAAGTAGATGTACAATATTGCTCTTTCAACAAGGTGACATATTTAAAGATACATTTTTTTTACTTTAGTTCACTGCTGGGATTACAGAGAGTTTATTGTACAGAAAGCTGGAATTTCTAATGAAGAAGAATTTGAATTTTCCACACAAAGAAGATATTAAATAATTTTTCAAACTATTCATCTTGGCATTATAGAAGTCGAATATTATACAAAATGTTTGGTACTCCATTAGAGGAGATACCAATCATAGATGAAAAATATAGAGAAGGTAAATTCTTTGTAAACTATTTTATAATGCTTTTTATCTTCCGAAATAATAATGCATAATTTTTTTCAGAGCTCGATCTCGTCATGAATGCAACTTTTACTGATCCCAATGACTCTAGTGCATGGTTCTACCAAAGATGGCTTTTAGATAAGTGCATAACAACTTGTAGGCTGTGGCGTGCTCGCGTTAACAAAAATACCGCTATCATTGTTATTGACAACAATATACTGATTGAACCAGTTTCGCTTTCACTATATGTAAATGGCAAGGCTGTTGATATACAATGGCAGCTATATCCGGATGAAAAGTTTGCAAAGTTACAAATTGCTAGATTTGTAAATCCATTGGAAAATTTGGATCATGCCAAGGAAGTTTTCATAAAATTGCAAGAAACTGCATATGAACTCTCATATTCGAAATTGGAAAGTGCATGGATTTACAAAGATAATTCAAGTTTACACAAACAAAATAGCAACGACGAACAATTAAATGAACAATTAAAAAGTTATAACCAACTTTCTAAAATGGAACCAAATAATAAATGGGCCTTATTAACTGGTATATTATTAATGAAGAAGATTGATTTAAAAAAATTTTATACTGATATATTAAACAACTTAACGGCACTATCGCAAATCGATAGTCTTCGTAAAATTACTATAAAGATTTGCGTAAGTATTTTTATATTTATTCATAATATATTAAAATCTTGATTTTAGCATCTATCAATTCCATCTTTCATTTACTTTTTAAATACATGCTTTTATTGTCATTTTTAGGAAGTAAACTCTTAGTGGAATATAAATTGCTCGAAATATGGAAAGGAGAAAATGATTTGGAAATACAGTCCAGAATTGATTTATCGGGATTAGATTTGACGAAATTACATAATAATCATTACTTTGGTTTTTTTGAAGAAGTGAATCTTGGTGCAAACCAGTTGGAGAATTCTTTGCATCAATTTTCCACATTACAACAATGTATAAAGCTGTCACTTTCCAGCAATAACTTAATGTCGTTGAAACATCTTCCTACTTTACATAATCTCGAAGTTTTTTCTTTGAGAAATAATAACTTAACAAACAAGAAGAGATATTAAACTTGATAAAACGTCATAAAAATTTAAAAAGATTAGATTTACGAGATAATCCAGTATGTGAAAAGATTAATATAACTCAAATTCAAGAACTAAACTGTAACTTGGAAATATGTTTAAAATAACATTGGAAGATAAATATATATACTTTATATATGTAATATATTAATTTTTAATCCATTACTTATATTGTTATTATTTTTTATTAAATTATTTTATACAGAAAATATTCAGATTCAGATTTAACCAAATGAAAGATTTCTTCAAAAATATTTCCTGTATTATTATCGTTCTCCTTTTTTCTGAATTGAATGAACTTTTCCTTTCTCAAAACATTTGTTGCATGTTACTGTCTTTTATTATACATATATATATATATATAATACACTTTTTAAATATTAACAAATTAATAAAAATATAAAGATCAAATTATTAAAAATTTCTATTTAAATAAAATTTAACTATAATTTAAATCTTATTAAATATTTAATATATATATATATATATATAATTATATATTTACATAAATAATACTTAAACATCTTTATAATACTACATATTCTGATAGTAATTGGAATAATTATCCGAATCTAAATCTGCTGTAGTTATGGATGAATCACCTGTATTGCATGGTATTGTTGGTATATTTGATCCTTGAATTGTGAAACCATGATAATCTTCAGAACTAATCGGCTTCAAACTTACAGATGGTAGATTTGTTTCAGGTGTAGAGCATTCATCTATTAAACTGTCTGTCATATGTTTTTTAAAGAGTTGCGTCTCGCCAGGCGCAAGATCAGATTGAGTATCTAAACTGATAAGACTAGTTTCGTCTTCGCCCTTGCTAACTTCCAGGCTATCGTCGCCTATAAGAGATGGAAAATCGAATGTTGGCGACGGCGTCACGGAATCTTCTACTAATGATGTTTTCATCAAATCACTCGATAGATCTGTCATTACACCGTTATTCACATTATCACCAATAGAATGCGGATATATCTGTTATAACACAATTTAAAATGATATAAAATTTGATTAATAAAAATTGGGCATTATAAAAACTCTCTCTGAGGAATAAAAATTGCAGCTAATCTCACCTGTGGAATAATTGGTGGTGGTAGCTGATAGCTTTCAAAATCCTCGCTATCTAAATTGGTAGGCACTCTCTGACTGTGAGATATCAACAATGGTGTCCTTTCGATCACTTTTTCTACATCCTCTTTAATTTTTTTCTTTGAATTCTATCATTTTGTTTTTCAATTCTTCCGCTTGTTTCATGATATCGGCATTTTTAGCTTGCAAATCATCCAACAAAGTTATATCTTCACACATAAAGTGTAAACTCTGTATTATAAATATAAATTATTTATCATCTATATGAGATAATAGTAATATTAAAAAATCCTCAAAAGGAATATTACTTCGCATATCATAAGAGCCGATTCCCATGTATTAGCTGGAACGCACTCCCCTGACATGTATGCATTAAAGTCTTTCTCAGCCATATTTAAGGATTCTGCAGTTAAGTTTTCAATAAATGATACTGCACAACACTACAAATTTTAAATGATTATTCAAAATATTGTTGAGACTTAGATTTTATATATAGCTTAGAAGAGATTTACAAAATGTGAAGCACTTTAACAAATTTGAAATACCAGATTTGTGAAATAATACCCTCCTTCCCCGGTCATTAATCTGCTGGCGTTGCAAAATCTCGTAATAAAATTTATATTGCTCTTAAGACGTGCGGGATTAGCCTTTAAAACGATAAATATGAGTGCTGGAAGGAATTCATCAGCAGATGCTGGTCCATCGACAGATTGTTGCAATAATAAGAATATATTTCTACAACAATGAATAACACATGCCAATTTCTCTTGAGGCGCTTTGGCAAAATCCATATTTAAAAGATCTAAAAAAAGTTTTTATTATATTGTATTGCCCATAGAATACTAGATTAAACGACTATATAAATTCATAATAATTAATAGTATAACAAACCTGTAATGGATGTATAAACAAGTTCTCTAACTTCTGAGCTTGTTTCGTGAATTCTACATTCCAAATTTTTACCACTAACCCAATTTAATTGCCGTATCCTATTAAGCAAAAATTATTTCGTACTTTTTATATTATAAATATAGATACAATTTAATCTGTTTTCTTATCATAGGATATAAACCTTTTTTGTATAGCCAAGTCTTTTTCTTCATCCGATGTGAATGGAGGGCAGAAAAGAATTCTATATAACAAAGTCATTGCATATCTTTCAACATAATCTAACAACTTCTCTTTAATATCTGCTGGTATATCTGTAACAGAAAGTATAATAAGTAAATTTTCAAGTTTCTCTACAGAGACACATAAATATAATATATATTACAAATTAAAACCTGTATATTTGGTGCTATTTTCTAGACGTTTCCCAAACACATGATAAAAATTTTGTGTTATCTCTGACAATTCTTCTATCCTTTTTACATCTTTATTCTGGAGTATGTCTACTACAAATGAATGTATGCATTTGCGTACATCTTTTTCTATCGGAGTCTTGGTTATATATAACAATAAATCTCGATTTTCTGCCTTAACTTTTTCAATATCTGGATTGTCTTTTAATAATTCGTGATATAATTCCTGATAACCTTGAACTTAAAATTTAACACATCAAACATAATAGGAAAAATAAGTAAACTTGTATATATTTTTAATAAATAATTGTTTACAACAAAAAAAGAGAGAAAATACAACATCATTACAAAATACCTTTTGCAGTAGGTTTCCTAAATGAAATGTTTAACAATTTATATTTTTTCTCTTGTTGTACCTTTTTCTCCTCCTTATGACTTCCAGCACCCACTGATCGATTAACGTCTCTAAAAAAAAAAAAAAAAACAATGAAATTATATGGAAGTAAAAATAAATAAAATAAATTAATTTTTAGGAACATTAAAGCTGCAAACTGGCAATAAAGTGCATACTATTCTGAATGTATATACTTCTGAATGTTTACAGTATTCATCATAAGCAACTATTTTTCAATTTGTGGCAAGTTTTTCTTCAATGTTGCAAATGTTGATTAATTAAATAAAATTGGCATTTTTATATAATGTTAGTGAGCACTATATATAATATTGTAGTGACAAGTTTCTACTCAATGTTCAGTAACCAACAAACGAGTTAATGTAAATAAAATATATTTTATACTGTTAATAAAATTTTTGGAACTGGTGAATGCAATTATAAATCTTATTAATCTTAGAAATAACAAAAAAATATTTGTCTCGTTGATTATAACTCATTTGTTGATGTTTTTAGAGTCCATTAAAGACTACTTAACATTATGTCAAAAGACCTGCAGCATTATTTGACTTTTTCAGAAGTTAAAATGATATATAAATCATCATATGATTTAATATTCTTATTAAATTAAGAAATTATCAAAAAAGAAAAGCCAATTGGTTTAATTTTATAGATTCAATATATGAGTATCTAAATGAGATCTTTGTGAAAAAGAATTTGATCAAAAAATCAGTTAAAAGTGATACTTATAGTAAATATACTCTACAAATGACGCACATCAAATATTATGTTATGCTGATGTGATCAGCTTATGGACCATAAAACTTTATTATATTTATAAGCATGACATTCTAGGAGATAAATGAATATTACGTGTCCGAAACTTGCGCATGAGATACACGTTCAGCTTGAGCGCGTCGTTTTTGCAAATGTTCTCGATGACATTTGCTGCAGTAACCTTCCCATTCCGCATTGCCGTAAAACCGCAACCGTTCTTGCATTTCAAATCGGCTTCGTCGATCCGAAGAGTCGGTGTCTTCGTAGAATACATGCTTTCGCGCAATCAAAATAAATGTTTTTTAAATCTTCCGGCTGAAAAATAAATAAGTTATCCTTGACGTTTGACAGTACAGAAACTTAACGTAAATAAAAATTTCCGAGGTGGATAAACTTCCAAATGAGAACAGAGTGTCTATTATCTTACAATTTCCGTCAAAACATTTTTGCAACTCTTGCAATGGTGAACGATAGTGCTTTGCGAATTCCTTATTATTACTTTTGATTAAAAAATTGTCAGAACGCAAAACAGAAAGCAGACTATTCTGCAAGCAGTAATAGCAACATTACACGAATTCTAGATGGTACATCGAGTGAAAATAATTCGGACTTTCAGACTAGCACTAGAAATTTACTAACTCAGTGCTGCCACAACGCGAAAAACGAACAAAATATGAATATAAACAGAGAGAAACCTGAGAGCGGCCACCGCGAGTGATGGCCGACAGTCGTATCTGCGATTGGGTCACAAAGGATTAAAGAAGAAGAAACATTTATTATTTATTTATAGCCTATTTAGATATATCTATGTGAACTTAAGTTTTCGTGTACATGTTGCAATATGAATCCTTTAACGTATGTATTTCTCAATTTATATATATATATAGATTAAGAAACTAGTTTAGAAGGAAGGGAAAAATGTTTTTTATTATTTAATAAATATAACTCATATTTTATATTTATATATTTCAAATTTTGAATTTAGTGTAGTTATTATTTAATATATATATATATATATAATAATATATATATAATATTATATATATATAATAAATTTTTTAATTTTCAAAGTTTATTGAATTTATGTTAATATGAATAATCTATATTTGTAGTAACGTCAAAAATATAAAGAAGCTCGCTGAGCAAGAATTACAAGGTAACAATAAAACATCTTGGCACGATCAATATAAAGATAGCGCTTGGATTTTCATTGGTGGTTTACCATATGATTTGACAGAAGGTGATGTTATTGCTATCTTTTCTCAGTAAGTTAAAATCTATATATAAATTGCAATTGTTTATATAGGCAATCATATTCTTTTTCCTAATAAATATATGTTCTAGATATGGAGAAGTAGTTAATATAAACTTAATCAGAGATAAAGATACTGGAAAACAAAAAGGATATGGTTTCTTGTGTTATGAAGATCAAAGGAGCACTATATTAGCAGTTGACAATTTTAATGGTATAAAGGTACATTGTAACACAAGTAGAAATATAGTAAGATATAGCGAACTATTGTTTGTATTTGTTAACAATGTTAAAAAAAAAGCAAAAACTTTCCACCTGAGTGTATGCATGTGTGTATATATATACATATATATGTATGTATGTGTGTGTATTTTTATTTTTCTCAGATATGATAACAGTATCTCAATATTTAAAAAAATCCTTTTCTGTTGTAGATTTTAGGTAGAGTAATACGAGTGGATCATGTTACAAATTACAAAGCACCAAAAGACTCCAAAAATATAGATGAGGAAACAAAAAAATTAAGAAAAGAGGGTTGTGCACCAAGAAGAGATTGAGATATGTGCATATAAAATATTGATCAAGGTATTTTTCAAGTATATCATTATACAGATTTATACTTTTAAACATTTTCATACATATGCACACGATATATTATTACGTAAAAACTTGATTACTTGTTATTGCAAATTAAGTCTTAATTATAATATTATAGTTGAAATTAGATACTACACACAAACTATTATTGGGTTTGTTTTTTGTTCCTGCACTAATAAACTAGTGCACACTGGTAATAAGTTATAGTGAGACAAAATATACTTGTCTCATTCTAACTTATTGCACCAGTGTGCACTAGTTCATTAGTGCAGGAACAGAAAACAAACCTATTATTTCTACCATGCAGTCTTATTTTCCAACTTGATTTTTTTATAGTCTCAAATATAGAGAATATGGTATTAGGATTTGTAGGATTAAAGATTAAGAAGCTCTTCATTTCATATATATTAAAGATAATAATATAATATTAATAATGTCAACACACATACGAGCAACAAATTTATGTCAATTATGTTATTAATTATTCAGTTATGTTATTATTTTTTAACAGAATGATATCAAGAGGAACCGAATTCGCTCATCCATTTCTCATATTTTTCCAAGTCCTCCTGGGAAACGCTTTTGTTACATCTCTCAACAGCTTCATCAAAATCCGCGGCAGATACAGGCAAGTCCAATTCTTCTTTTGGCAATTGCCTGATTTGATCGGGTCTTAAACCTGCGATTTTCTTTCGCATCAGCATCATAGAAGCATCTCTAAATAATAAAATGACGAGTGAAATATGTTACAAAATATTTGCAAATTATTATTATTTTATAACAACTCTACTCACCTACAAACATTTGTGATATCCGCTCCGGAATAACCTTCGAGTTTCCTTGCAATGTCTGCTAAGTTTACAGATAAATCCACTTTCACTTCACGAAGATTTATTCTTAATAATGCTTCTCTGCCTTCGTCTAAGTAATGAAAAAATTTTTAAAAATAAAAATATTTTACATTATATTAACATATATAACTAAAATTTATCAAAACTTACAATTAGGTAGCGGAATGTAAATACGTTTTTCTAAACGTCTTCTCAGAGCTTCGTCGATATCCCATGGAAAATTTGTCGCAGCTAATACCATTACCACTTTACCTGGATCTTCGCTATACAAAAAGAACAAAGATACTTGATATGTGCTTTTACATCTTTAAATTAATAAAATAAACGTATAAATTAATAAAATAAGTTTTACTTATTGGAACTTATTCCATCCATTTGAACAAGAAGCTCAGATTTTACACGACGTGAAGCTTCGTGTTCCGATTCAGATCCTCTTCTAGAGCACAGAGAATCAATTTCATCAATGAAGATTGTGCTGGGTGCATAAAATCTAGCCTGTGTTCATATAATACAATATAAATTAATATTGTGAATAGAATCTTGCATTTCTCTAGAGAAATCAACAGAACGTTGTTTAGATACAAATATTATATAACATTTTATTGAAATATTGTCTTACCATTTCAAATAATAGTCGAACGAGTTTCTCCGATTCACCCCTATATTTTGATGTTAATGTAGAGGACGAGACGTTGAAAAATGTTGTACCACATTCTGTTGCAACAGCCTTTGCAAGCATAGTTTTGCCTGTGCCTGGTGGCCCAACCATGAGTACTCCTTTCCAAGGTCGCCTAATTCCCTAAAAATTGCATTTATGTTAACATTGTGAAATTTTATTACCATTTATAATAGAATGAGGAAGGAGATATACTTTGAAAAAATCAGGCATCCACATTGGAAGCACAACTGCTTCCTCCAGCAATCTTTTTGCCTCATGTAAATCTGCTATATCATCCCAGTGAATATTTGGATTTTTTTGAACAATATCTCTTTCTACAATTTTAATATCAATATCTCACATTTGTTTTTTATATTTCTGCCAATATGTTTTTAAATAACAGTAATAATAATATTACCTAATATTTCTACAAGATCTTTATCAGTAGTAGATGGTTCAAATTTCCGTTCTTCTAATTCAACATCTTTTTCTGTCTCTGACTTGTCCTGTAATTGTAGTTATCGGTTTTATATTAATATTCATGATTTTTAATAAATTTAAAATAAAAATATGCATTTCTCTTTCTTTCATTTAGCAAACTATATTACTTTATTGGTATCATCTTTCTTTGCAGTTTTCTTGTCATCCTTTTTGGTGACAGCTTTACTATCTGGTTTTTTCGTTGCAACAAGAGATTTTCTAGTATTTGTTCGATTTTGCTGTTTCTGTTGAACCTTTTGCTGTTTTGAATTTCTGAAAAATATAAACTAAATATTAACTAAATATTTTGTCATAACAAAACATATAGCACAATATAAAATAAAAACAAGTAGAAATATTTAAAAAAAAGAAATTAAAGATATGTAATATTAAGAAAGCCGTAAGACATTGTGGATTTATGTTAATACTTTTGTTCCGCTGGAGTTAAAGGTGGCCATACATCAGGATCTCTGGCTGGTGTTTGATTCCAGGAGGGTTCAGAGTTGGTGTAAGACCACAAAGCAGGATCTCGCGTTGGTTCCTCAAATGGCAAACAAGACGTTCCTGAAATTGAAAAATTTGTCATCCACCGTACAAGATTATTTACCTTAATGATAATGTACTCTCTTTACCGAGTAGTCTTTCTCCATGTGTGTCCACTTTGAAAAGTTGCAGCGTGTTGGATGTGGCTTTTACCTTTTCAAATTCCTCGACAATTTGATGTTGTACAACTTGCCACTTTGCTTTCCGAGTCGCATCCGCGATGGTCGCAAGTAATCTATGTATTTGTTGCACAACCCCTTGATAATAAACGCCAGACGTGTCGTAATTCCCCATCAATGCCATCTCACGCGCAAGTTTCGTATTTTCGCAAATTTCATTTATTGACACAGCCATGATTTTACCTTCGCATACACACGAGAAGATACAAAGAAGAAGTACAAAATTCGTTACACTCTCGAAGAGATGTGAAGGCGAAAGCGACGATCGCAAAATCGTTAAATTAAATTCTTCCAAAGTGTTCGTAATGGCGAAAATTTATTTGCTTGTATGTACATCTCTCTCTCTCTTTCTCTCTTGGTGTACATTTTCTTGAGCTCTATAATTTACGCTTTAATCAAGCTACACAGTTACATGGCTGCAGGTTAATTCTCATCGAACAATTGTACGATGGTGCATAAATTAATTCAAGTAGCAAGAAATTCATGCTTATTTTTTAATAGATTCAGTCGACGAGTTAAATGCTTTCTCTCACAGATATTGCGCGAAAGCTATCATGTAAATTTTCTGTCATTTTCTGTTTATTTAGCATTTTTGTAATTGCTATGAAAATAGCTTCTCAGTAATCAAAGGGGTCATCCACATGAAGATTTTTTTGCGCATGTGCATCAGTCGGGTTCATTTTTTAAAAAGTTTGAAGAGAGAGAGGAAAAAGAGAAAAAAATTACAAATTTACTGGCTATGCTTTTATTTTTATAATTATTCGACTGTGGGCGGTATTCATAGTCCTTATATTTAAGATCATTTTAAGATCTCGTTTAACAACCAATCAAGAGATGCTATGCGGCCATTTGATTGGTTGAACGAGGTCTTAAGACGATCTAAGAACCAACTGTAAATCGTTCATCAGAATTCAATTGCGCGACAATTTTTTGAACGCACTTTTGATGGCGTTGATATGGCTGCCGCACGTCTTCCTGTCGGCATTTCTTCTTCCTCGTGTTCCCTCGTTTTAGCTTGATCTCGTTGCTTCTCTTTGGACTGGTGACAGCTTGAGTTAATTCGATAGTGATTTATCGTGAATAATTAGAAAGGAATTGTTTGACGACGAAGCAAAAGAGTAAGCAATTTAGCGCAATATTTTTATTTAGACATATTCTGTAACGAAACATTGATACGCGTTTCATTGTACGATTGCTTTTTCCACGTGGAAAAATTGGAAATTTTCAGTTGGATTAACGTAACTTGGTGTTTTCCATCTTAAATTCGTATCTTTCTGTTTTCTCTTTTACTACAAAAAAATGGTAGTCTTCCATTCACAGCCTTTTATCGGTATTTCACAAGTTCCAAAAATATACTTAATACTAAATTGATATAATTATCAAAAGTTCTGGAAATTTCGACATAGTATAACATCGATCGCAGCAATTTTTATTATGTATAAGAAAATTAAAATAGAGAATATTAAAACAAAGTAATAAAAAGAGAAATAGAGTATATATATATATATATATATATATATATATATATATATATATATATATATATATATAATACATGTGTACTTTTTTTCTACCATGTATAATGTACATATTTGAGACTTAATTTTTCTATCATTCTCGCGCATCTCGTACTATTATATTTTATCAAGTTCCTTGTAATGTACTGTTAATAATGTTTCTTATAATGCTGTACTTTTAGGAATTTGGAGAAAATGGGTAAAACAAAACCAGAGAAAAATAAAAATTTAAACAGTGCAAAGCAATTGCATATAATAAAAATGGTTTGGTAAAAAAGGACAAAAACTCTAAATTTAAAATAACACCAGGAGGCAAGGCATCTTTTAATAATTCAAAAACACAGAAACAAAATTCACCACCTCAGAAAAATTTCCAAAAAGGTGCAGGTGTAAATAATAATCAAAATTTATCTAAGAATATTGTAAAGAATAAACAAAATTTTCCAAATGCACAAAATAAATCAACCAATAAGAAAATTAATTTGAACCTTAAAAAGTTGGAAGAAACCAATGATTCCAATTCTGATGATTCCAATTCTGATATTGATGAAGAAATGATAACAAAAGAGGCTGTTGGTCAAATTAAATCGGGTGAAAAATTTGAGGATTCTGAAGAAGAGTCTGATACAAATATCCTAAGTATCCTTGGAAAAAGTTTACAAGATAAATCGGATGAAGATGATGAGGACTTTTATGAAATAGTGGAAAACGAGGATTCTTCTGATGATTCTGAATTTAAAGATGATGATGCTTCTTCAGATGATAGTTCTGATGATTTTATATTTCTTGATAAGAAGACTGGAAAAAATAGTGTACAAAAAAATGTAAGAGCGTTTGAAAATAAACATTCAAAAAAGAATGATGACAAGGATAATAAAAATAAAAGTGATAAAAAGAAATTGTCTCAATTAATTATAAAAGATGATGAAGATGAGGAAAATAATGAAGATGATGAAGATGAGAATGAATCAGATGAAGATGACAAGGAAGAAAAAAATAAGGATGACAATAAAAACTGTTTTCATGATGATGAGCTAGTTGAAGCTCAGTTTTTAAAACTGTTAAAACGTTTCGAAGCAAAAGAGATGGATAAATTTAAGAAATATGAAGATAAATCATACGAAGACACAGACGAAGATGACTTAGACGAAGAAGACTTAGACAAAGAAGACTTAGACGAAGAAGACTTAGACGAAGAAGACCTAGACGAAGAAGACCTAGACGAAGAAGACTTAGACGAAGAAGAGAATGAGGATTCAGCGCCAGGTTTAAAAGCACTTTTAGGAAATAGTATTGCAGACGAGGATGACGATGAAGATTTTAATGAAGAAGATGAGGATGATGAAGATGATGATATTAGTGACGAAGATGAAGATGATGAAGAGAATGATAATGTAGTAAAAGTTGATAATGATAATGTAGCAAAAGAGAAAGTAGCTAAAGCGTCCAACAACAAAGATATTAAAGAACATAAACAGGTAAAAGGAAGGAAAGAAGAATTGTCTTCTGAAGAAAAAGAAGAGATTAACAAAAGAACTATTGTTATTCATAATGTTCCGAAAGACACAGGAAAAGCAGATATAAAAAAAGTATTTGGTGTATTTGGGCCAATTGAGACTTTTCGTTTTAGAGGTATTATTCCTGAAAATCCAATAATGTCTAAAAAAGTAGCTTATATAAAAAAGCTGATTCATCCAAATGTACGTACAGTTGTAGTGTACATTAAGTACAAGTCTCAAGAGTCTGCCCAAAAGGCACTTAGCATGCATGGAAAGGTATTTCGAAAGAATATTATAAGAGTACAAACAGTTCAGGACGTTGAAAAAAAAGAATATGATATTAAGAGAGCTGTTTTTATTGGAAATTTGAATTTTAGTAAGTATAAGAAACTATTGTCAATTTGTTGTTGATTTTATTACAATGTGGTAAAAAAATGAATTAAGAGTTTTAACAAGTATAATTATAAATGTTAATGTTTTTGTTAAAATCTAGAGATAGATGAGAACCTCATGTGGAGATACTTTATGCATTGTGGAGAGATAGAGTCTGTACATTTAGTCAATGATAAAGTAACAGGTCGGTCCAGAGGATTTGGTTATGTCTATTTCAAATCTGAAAGCGCTGCAGCCATCGCTCTACAATTAGATGGTCTTTGTATTATGGAAAGAAGCATACGAGTAAGACCATGTTTAAGATCCGAACAAATGGGAGGAAAACGAGCTTCTTCAAATAACGATGATGGTAATCCATCAAAAAAATTCAAGAATAATTTGGAAAAACCTGTAACACGTAAAGTAAGTTATTTTATCTTTGAAAATCTTGTTGAAAATGTTTCAATAAATTTGGAACGATAAAATTAATATCGCATATATCGCGTTTTTTTTACAGGCTGAAAACGAAGGAAATATTAACAAAAATAAAAAAATAAAGAAAAATAAGGGAAAATCCGAAGAACAAAACTCAGTTTCATTTCAAGGTCAAAAAGCCAATTCTAAAAATAAAAAGAAAACAAATAAATTCGATAAGAAAAAAAAGAGAATGGCACAAAAACTTACAGCTAAATCAACTAAACCAGTAAAGTTTAAACCAATAATGTTACGATATATTTTAGTTTCTCGGACGCAGTTTTAAGATACTTTATATTCTAAGACAAGAGATCTATTGTATCCATTTAAACGATAAACATTAGTTCTCGGATAGGAATTGAGATATTACAATTAACACAAATAATTATAATGGCATGTATAAATATATTCTTTTTCTTTGTATTATTAGAACAATCATTAAGTTGTCATTATTTAATAAATAAATACATATTTCTTTAAGTGGTACATTGCATTACTTTGAAGAATCTGCACGTTTCATTAAATTATTAATTTTGCTATGTAATTGATATGGTAATTTCTGGATATTATCAGATGCACACTTTAAACAGAAACGCTGTGTGTAAAATATGCTACATCCTAAACATACATTGCGTTTGCACATACTGCAATCTGTACCTAGGACTAAAACTTCACCTCTGTTTGGTAAACTGAATGGATCTTTCATAATATAACACTCTTCCAGATAAACCAATTGGCGAGCGAATGGTGGTTTTGCACCTTTGTAATCGTAACGTTCCTTTAAATTACAAAAAGAACATGTAAAAATGTTGCATGCATTTGTCGCCGTTTGCTGATTCGTAGAAGTATTCTCTTGCATCTGTTGATAGATATCAGATTCGTCCGCTGGCGTACTAGTGAGACCTTCCATCCTATAAAGCAACAAGGAATACAATCCATTGAATATATCATCGGTTTTATGTTACAATAATAAATTTATTTCAGTGCATATAATTTTTACACAATATCACATATGTATATCACGATTTTCTGTACAATATCAATTTGTTGATATATTACACAATAATGTTATCAAGCTGAATTATTTTGTATCTTTGACAGAAACCGTTTCCTTCTGAAATTCTTGAGGCCACCACGCGGGTTTGATCACTCTTATATTTATACCCGATACATTAAGCCGCCGAGCACCGAGAGATTCGTTAATCCGCATTAAACCTAATCCATACTTGTCGATATATCCTCGAAACTTTCCTACCACATTGTCAGATTCGTCGAGAATTTTTTCGTCGTATGCGAGCGGTTTATCCGGGATATTATCAAATACTAAAGGCATCAAGCGCTTTCTGACCACACCTGTATGATACGTTCGCGCAGTTAATTCCTGACCGACATAACAACCTTTGTGAAAACTAACGCCATGCAAGTAATCGCAGTTGATCTCTAGAGGCAATGCCTTTCCAGGTGGTAGATCGTGTACGCCTTCTCCTATTCCTAGTTTATATCGAAACGCCTTGTAATTCCCAATATTCTCAGAGGCTGAGGATACATCGGAGTCTAAATGTTTGATTATCTGGTGCTTGTCAATCTGCGATTCAGCTAGAATTCTGAGACCTAAATCAGGCAATCTTGGATCTTCGTATATCCTAACATTATCGATGAATTTACTGGCTTTATTATTTAGCGTGCCACATGGAAATATTATTCCTTCCAGTTTGCGCTTTTCATTTTCGTTCACTGCAATTCCATTCTTAAAGCGTTTAGTCGAATCAAACATTGACCAAACATTGATTTTATCCCCTATGTGTTTCACATCTACTTTTCGTCTTACACGATACATTTGCAAGTGCTTCTGCAAAGATTCAACAACTTGCGAATCACATTCTACGTAAAATATGTTACTTTCTTCACTCTTGTACACTATAGCGTCATACATTACTCTGCCCTTAATGTTCAAAAACAAAGTATAAATATTAGATGCCCCTTCCGTGAGATGCTTCATATCGTTCGTGATCAATCCCTGCAGAAAGGTGGAAGACTCATCGCCGCTTACTCGCAATATACTTCTATCATTCAAACGTTCTAGTATCTTCCCATCAGCTTGATTGGAATTGTGCCTCATCGCATACCTCTGGTGGCTACCGATCCCTTTACTGCGTTTGCACACGTAGAGAGCAAAGCGATTAACGCGAACACTTATCGTGGCAGACATCGTCAATTTGATCAATCTTTTACTTTTCTACGAAAAAATATACGTATCCAATAGAACCGGTAATGAGAAATCCTTAACCTCTGAATACTTGAAATTAGTTTGTGCAACAATACAGCTAAAGTATATAAAAATATTGAAGCTTACATTTATATTGCAACTCGATCACGTATATTCCGGGTATATGACAGCTTGACAATTGCATTCGTGTGCGTTTTTTTTTAATAATAAGGAAACTGTGATCGACAACACTCGACAATCACATGATGATTGGACCTGGCATATATATAAGAGTGGTGATATTACCGACAGGAGCCAGTTTTTGTTAAAAAAAAAATAATAATAAAAATATTAAAAATTTAAATATTTTTAAAAATATTTCTCATTTAAATTTTCTGGAAATTTTTTATTAAAACTGAAATAATAATTAGATATTATTTTTGTTATTAATTATTATAAAGAATGAAGAGAATGCTTTATTTCATTTTATTTACTTTCTTTGTTTTAACAAAACAATGGTAATCACAATTAGATAGATATCAGTCGCTCGCACTTAATAAAAGGCGATTGTTTTACATTTTTCAGTGCTATTAGTTTTATTCTCTCCGCTCATGCTTAATAATCTTTCTACTATAAGTGATATATTTAGGCGTGACATAATTATCCGCAAGTGTGATACAAAAAATTAGTAGAAAATATTTCACAAAAAATTTTCTAGGTAATATTCCGTGCAGCTCATACTAATGATTTTTTTAAATGTTATTTTGATACTTATATATTTCTCATACATATAATTAAAAGTTGTTTTAAAGTTGTCCTGTAATTTTATTATTCCTTATCTAAATTATTACTTATATTTAAAGTAATTTCAAGATAAAAACAGATCAGATTTTTTAAGCATAATTTTTTTAAAATTAAATAATGTATTTTATAAAGATCACATGAAAATTTACAAAACATGGAGATAACAAAAAGAAAAAACATATTTCAATATGTGCAGATATTTGATACAGTATCATATGTGTACAGGATATGTAGTATTTATCAAATAAACAGGTTGGTGGTATACACAATCAATATATTAGATTGCAGTAAATACTGAATACAAAAGTGAATACAGAAAATCAATTTGTTCATTGTGATAATTTTATAAAAACAATTTTCAAAAAGTTGAGAAAAAGAATATACATATATTTTTTTAATATAAAACATAATTTTTAACACAATATTTTAAAATTTGAAAACTAAAAATTACAAAAGTAACTTGAATTTATCACAATAAAATTTCCAATAAACAATGAGATTATTATGTGATTCGGAATAACTTTAAAAAAGTGAATAAAACATGATAATATATTGTACTAAATCCATTAACATATTAGCCAGTCTTTGCGCACATTTGTCATTTATCTTCAAATTCAGGAATAATATTTCTTATATTTGTTGTGCAGTGTGCTATAGTGCTAAATGTTAACAGTCGATTCTCTCTTGGGATATTCAAACTATCTACATGATCATCTATCAGACAGAATAATGATTATCAAATTTTTAACATATGAATTATTTCATAATGTCAAATTCGTAACGCTATTTGAAAATAAAAGTTTGAAAATTTTTTATGAAAACATATACGTATATATATGTGTGTGTGTGTGTGTATATAAAAGCGCTTTGTATTGTGCTACAACGCAACATGGTACAAATATTAGTTTTGTAAGAAATAAATAAAATTTATTACATTATTTATGTATATTAATATTATAAATGTGTATTATAATATTTTTTACTCTATATATATATATTACTAAAAAAAGAATAAACTTAAACTTTTGGCATTTATATGATTTGTCCAGATTACTTTTCAATTAAAAACTTGCTTTTTTTTAAAAACATACATATATTCAGGGAAATTTCTGATAGTATATATTTTCATCTCTGCCATGTATCTCAGGCAGTAATATTCTTCTTTTTCAGAGCCATAATTTAAATGGCTTTACTTTAATAGAGAGCAGTCCCTTATAAATATAGCGCGTCACATGCTTCTACATAACTACATCACCGCCATTAGGAAGTCACCGTCATTAACGGCGTCATCGTCGTGGGCATCGTCTTCCCTTTTTTATACAAAGGATTCGTATACAACCTGGGTCGATCAGAAAGATCGGATGATACGGGATTACACGCCATCGTTATTTACAGCCAACGATCCGTCACGAAAGGAGATTCTCGGTCGAAGTATCCTCCCGGCGGAAGTACTTCATTATTGCACGATAATATCAGTATTATTGAGACGCGACTATGAGGGTCGCATTAACAGCATCGTGTTCAAATTACAATTAATCTACGAGCTAATGGTTACATCGCGCTCTTCGCTATATCTCTATAATAAGAGGAGACTGGCCAGAACGTACGCAATTTATTATTGCTTTGGCTACGACGTGTAATAATATCTCGGTGTAGAATATCAGCTATTCTTATAGAAACAATGAACGTTATGCGTAGCAAACAACGGAGCAAATCCCAACAATTTCACCGTGAAAAGCCTATTCAAAATGGCAAAAACTGCGAATGTAACAACTGTGCGTGCGCTCTTTTTTTTCTCTCGTTTGCACGTTGTTTAAGCAAAAGTTGCTGAAGTCTGCTCTTTCATTCTCTATTCGCCGTGGTGCTCCAAAGCAGAAACTCCAAATACAATGTAATACGTTTGCCGTAAAAGCGAACTTGAAGATGACGTAGACAGACGGTGCTGAGTCAAACTAAAAAAAAAGAGAAAAAAAAAACAAAACGCATCCGTGCAGCAAAAAGTAACTTTGTTCGCGCTTTGCACATCAGCAATCTCTGCTCATCCGTCGGACCGTTTCAAAGGAAAAAAACGTACAAGAAACAAAATGATTGCGATTAATTCTGTTTGGATAGTCTCCGTTGCTTTTCATCGATTTTTTTCTTTCAGTTGGAGACACATTAATCAAAGATTAAGGAAACATTAATCGCTGTCGTAATGCGAGGAATCGTGTTCCACGATAAATCAGCAGGTAAGATTATCATCTGCGACGTATAAGATGTTAAATTACATAAATTGTGCTAAACCGACGTTCTCATAAAAACGTGAGCAGCGACTTCATTTATTTTAGTTATGTAAAGTTGCGCTGACACTTTTTACACGTATTGTTGGTTTTTAAACGACAGTTCGTATCGCGTGCTTTCTTACAGAGTAACTGTTTCGAGAGTAAAATGTCTCTTTATTCGGAGCAGAAATTCTGAAGCATTTCTTAGTATACGCGCTTCTTTTATATATCTATCTTCTGTTACAGTCAAAGGACGCGCTTCCTCTTCAGTGCCTGACGTCCACTTCGTCCGTCGCTTGATTCTCCAGTGTGCAAGGTCTATGAAATTCTTGACCTCTTTCGTGCAGCCATTTGTTTGCCACTGTAAGTAAAAAATATATAAGTTGGAAAATAGTAACACCTTTAATTATACTCTCGGTAATATATATCTATTCATAAATTATTAAATATTTATAAAAAAGATATTGATATCAAAATAATATTATAATTTAAAAATGACAAAAAAAAAGAATGAGACAAGAATCAGAAGAATCTGATTTAAAAAAATAATATAAATAATATAATAAAGATGGAGACGACGTTTCAACGACGTACCCCACTTAGATCCCGTAAGTACTGGACAGGCCGCGTGTCTGGTTTTGAAATCTCCCTCGCCGTTAGGCTTAAGGTTGTACCAAAACGCCGCGCTACCCTTCCTCGGCCAAAGCGATATATTGATGGCGGTGAATACGGTACCTCCTCCTTGCTCGACATCGCTCATCTGTTAAGTTAAAATAACAGAAAGACAACGTTACACGTCGTTTGGTACTCGATAGTATCGTAATAAGTCGTCCAGAATTAGACTTACGTAATATAAGACTGTCGCGATTCTATTGCCCGTCCCAAGGCTCTTAAATGCATTCGTCTCTTCTTTCTGCACATGCGCAAAGTTGAAAATCGAATTATTAACTAATAAGTCGGTAATAACCGAGCTTGGAAAATAGACCGAATGATCAACTTACCCTGGCAAAATCGAAATGCGGTTCGTAGTGACCGCCGATGCCATAATTGACCACTTGAAGCTCCTCGGCGGTCTCGATAGACATACTCGTCATATGTTCTACGCGTTTGCTTACCGCCGCTACGTGCTTGTGCTCGTGTTCTTGAAGCCACGCGCTCTTGCTGATTCTGTAATTCGCTATCTCTAAGGCACCAGTCTTGTAATTTTGCACCGTGGCGCGCTTAAACTGCAACAGATGTAATTATTCGAAAGAAATTCTTACAATTTGATGGCACTAGTAATGATACATATGATATCTCGGAAGAGAGAGTGCGCGGTAATAATTTTCCAATTTACTCTGTAATCAAGTTATTTACCCTAGGTTGAGCCATTCGTTTGATCGTCTCGATTTCCTCGTCGTAGATTACGTTGTGATAAACAACTATCCTCGGATCTAGGTACGCTTCCTCTTCCTTGAACGGCGCGATTTTCAGAAATGGAATTCCACGGTCGACATAACGGCACTTGAGATTCTTCCCTACTTCTAGTGGAATAGATACCTCGCCGCGACAAAGCATCTCGTACCTCTCCCTCTCCGTCATTTCCTCCCACGTTTTCACCCTTTCCTCGGCGACAGTGAAGTTCTGCAAGCCCGATAACCAACTTTACGAACACTCGCGCAAATGAGATTTACCTCTTAGATGTTCTTTTCGCATCTCTCAAACTAATGGTCGACGAGAAGTTCTCTGTTGTTTAATGATATCTTTCGCACTAATCGTGATAAGCCACTTTGTTGCAATAAATTCAACATGATTAAATTGAGCGAAAAAATCTCTGATTAAAAGAATTAATAAATCCAACATTAAAATACGTTTATCGTTATTTTAAAAAAATGGTTTATTTTGAATATTTAATTTCTCTGTGTTTCAATAAAGCGGCTTTTTAATCCAGATTTTATCTTTCGTTGACTTTACCTGTTCAGGTATCGCGGTGTCGTCCTGCCCGTCCTCACCTCGTTTCTTCTTCGACTGACTGGCCTTGCTTTGAATCTCCTTTTGATAATATGCACGGTTTCCTAGGGCTCTCTCGTGTGTCGGGACCAATTCCAATAGCTCGTTCGTCATACTCAAAGCGCGGGCGACGTTACCTGGAATGATGATAAAGACGGAATAACATGTGTGATAGGAAGGTGAAGAATGAAAAGTAGAAGCGGAGTAGAATGTCTCTTTAGAAATTTTTTCGTGTTATACAGTA